TTATTCAGCTTCACCTTCGGGTGATGGACAGGTTATTCAGCTTCACCTTCGGGTGATGGACATGTTATTCAGCTTCACCTTCAGGTGATGGACATGTATTACATTTGGGCGACTATGATACCCCTAGTGAGTACCTCACTGACGTGATTTCTAGATGTTTTACAAAATTGCCTTCGGGCAATGATATTTCTATAATTGAGCACTAGATTTTACGCACTTCCTTATTAAATGGTTTTTCATGGCATGCTAGGGTTTTCAGAAAATCTATTATGTAGTATTATATGTGTTTTCAAAACAGGGGCTTATTATGTTCAGAAATAAAATGTTTTCTTCTTATTAGTATTATTATAAAAGTTTGTCCACTCACCTTTTGGTTTTTGCGCCACCTCAGGAGTTAGAATCGAGACATTTGTTCCCGGTGTCATGACTCTACAACATAGGTATCCTCGAGTCTTCTTAGTATAGGTATCATTTCCTTGTTCGTATCTTTTCTTACTAATTCTTCCATATTATTCTTAGTCGTTGTATGCTCTGAACATGTTCGTACAATGGCATATTTCGTTCTAATTGCATATTCTTTATTTGTTTGCATATTTAAAATGGCTTCGTCACCCTTGGGTGTCGACCAGCACGTGCCTACCCTGGTATATGGGGATATTGGGATTGGGGCGTGTTAGTTTGGTATCAGAGAATGGTTTGTTCAGAGCATACCTAGGATCTTCTCTTACTCTAGTAGTGTGTTGGCCTTGATATCATTTGGATGTCATGGCTTCTGTTTACTGATGTCCTTCGGCACAGTTGTGCAATCCTCATTCAGCCTGAATAGTCACATCCTATTTGAAGTATAAGAAATTCGTGTCGGGATTGTGCCTCAAGTTTGTCGTAATTATTTGATGAATGACTTTCAATATCGGATCGCTATTCTGCAACATATGTTCCTTAGGAATGGTGGGCAGAGGCATATCTGTTGGGAAATCGCTTATGACATCCAAAGTCGTGTTGGAGAAAGTTAAGGAAACACCAGTTGTAGGCGGAGTTAGTAGGTATCTGTAGGGTAGACCGAATCAACTTCCTCGGGCTTGTTGTTTCCACTAAGGAAATCCGTGTGGACCCTTAGAAAAATTTCTCGATGATGATCTTATTGATAATTTCCTTGTCCATTTCAACCTTGGGGTCAGTTCCGTAAACATCAACAGCCAGCATTATCAAATCCTCAAATTTTGACCTTGCTTAGATTACAAACCTTTCTTGGGAGACGTGAGTGTAGCAAACGGTGTCCTTACCCATATCTAAAAAGGTTACAATTGTAGAAAAATAAAAAATCCTCTCGAGTGTCGTGAATTACGAAATACTATTGTTCTTGTTGATTTCAATCGACAGTTGCCAACGATTCTTTGACCATAGTCCTATTCTCATTTCCCTTAGCTAGGAAAAATTCAATTCTGTTAAGATGTTGAGTGTGAACGAAATAATGATGAAACTTTTTTTTGGCAACATAAAATTTAGGAAGAGATTGACGACTCTCATAACTAGTGCCAGAGTAATACCAAATAAGATGAACTTTATTTCTCCTATATCTCTTAGTTTTTTCAAAAGTTAAAGATAACTTATATTATTCGACTGTAAAAATATAAATTGATATGCTTGCGTAAGGACAAGCTAGGATTGTTGACCATGGGACAATGCCGCAAGGGGGAGGGGATGGCTTAAAACACACTCTCCGTGTGTTCAATCATGGCCTTTGCCTTCTCCAATCATCTTGCTCCCATTCTCTTTTCTCACACTTTCCGGGCTTCATATGTCCAACATCATATCCCAAACAGAATCGTCGTCGTCATCATCAAACCAAGCAAGTAGCAACAATACTATTTACCTGTGTCAATGGGACCTGCGGTCCCACATATGTTATTAATCTGCAGAGTGATAGAGTCAGATTTGGAGAATCCAATAGATTGATTGGTATATCTTTAGTGTTACTAATCATTTAAACGGGAATAAATCAATAGACTGTGATTACAAAAACAAGAAGAAAAAAAAAAAAAACCCTATACCTAGTAAAGAAATATAAACTCGTCAATCTAACAGTACTCATGTTTCCATTAATATGAGAATTCGCACTTTAGATGAACTACGGTTTTGAAACTAAACTGTAAGTAATTTAAGACTCAAAGACTTGACAAATATAAAGAGTTGTGCTAGTATCGGTCTTGACTAAAATTTAGAAAATATGAGAAGTGAAGATTGATTGCATTTTGTTTTTGTTGTGCAGGATTTTCGGACTGCCCTACAATTCGCTGCTACTAGTCTACTATTATTGTGGTTATCAGTGTCTGTGTGTCCCAGCATATGATAAACACGGTCTATCATGGGCATCAAAAGTCAAGATTGCGATGCCATAGACATAAGGTAGCTGAAGCCAGAACTACTATATCGGCATGGCTCGCCATGAGTCATGGATAAAGATGCAGTTCCAACCAAGGGATAGGTGATTAGAAACCGTGTGTTTCTACACTTTCTATGGCATACCAAACAGAACCTAGCTAATTAATTTTCTGCATAATTTGTAAAATAATAACGAGCAATGCTTACAATAATTAGATTAAAGCCATAATTAACCTAGATATATAAGGTCTTGTTTCGTTTTGTGTCTTGTATATTAAATTAGATAACTTATTAAATTTTGTCTCTACATTCAGTTTTGGTAGGATGGAAGAATAAGTTTTCTTCTATCTTCAAACTAGACAAGATTCAGACATTGATATTTGTTGATGCACAAAACCGGAGGTTTTGGAATAACGTAAATTCGACCGTGAATCTGCAAGAAAGTAAATAATACAAGATGTATCGTGGTTCACCCCAAGGTTTGGGCTACGTCCACACTGGTTATTGTATTTCTCTGAGAAGTGAGGGGAGTGAGTGTGAGAGCCTCTGTAATGAGAGTGAGGCTTTGAGAGGGGGTGAGAGGGCCTAGGAATTGGCCTTCTCTAATTGTGAGGGTGAGGAGTCATTTTATAGAATAAGGGCTCATCACTTATTACATATTTGCCCATTCCTTTATTACATAATGACATTTAAGTATCTTGAGTATTTGTACGAGATCTAAATACGGAGGCCCTAAGTATGGTATAAACAATATTCATTTCCTGCTTTGGTCCAGTACAATATTACTAGGCACCAAACAAGTCCTAATGCCGATGGATTTTGAAACTATCATATACATGTTAGGCAATCCGAGTGGCTAAATTAGATGGAACTAGTGTTTGGTTAAGCTCGTTTGGAAGTATTTTTAAAATGACTGACTGAAAACGTTTTCGGTTAAATTGTGTTTGGGATCCAAATGTTTTTCAGAATTCACTTGCATTTTTATTAGGGATCGGTTATAGATTATGTTAATAAAAAAAATACTTTCAATCATTTTAAAAGTATTTATAAACAGTTGAAAAAAGTAGCAGCAAATCGCATACAACGCTTTGGATTTGAAATCTCCTGCTGTCGATATGCAACGATATGGAAGTTTGGACCAAACAATTGACGTGGAAATAAAAAAGTCCCAACTTTCTTGTAAGGTAACTTTCGGTTCTTCCTTTCCAAGAACTGTCCAAGTGTCTGGCTTGCTTGGTTTAATAATTTTAGCCCGAATTTCTTTGGTGGAACAAATTTGTGGATCAAAACGTAGGATCGGTCTCTGAACTTTCATTCTAGATTAGATTTGATCATTGAACTCATTCTAGATTAAGTTTGATCGCTGAACCAAAAGGTCCTTGAATTTAACAAAAAAAATCCACTATTGGTTACTTTGTAGATTTTTCGTCAATTTGATTACGTAACAGAACATAGAACCCCAACAAGTCTCCGAACTTTTACCCTAATTTAGACTTGATCCTTGAACATTCACCGCAAGATTAGAATTTGTATCCATGGTATCGCTTGAAATTTTGTCTTTTGCATGTTTACTTCATAGATCACAAGACTAAGAGTTTTTGCTGTTGCAAATCCTGTATACTTGTGCTCAAAAGATATTTTTCTTCTTTGACGCTCGTATACTACAACGACGACAAAACCTTATCCCATTAAGTAGTGACCGCTATATAAACCTAGAAAACCATGGCTCATGTGACGAAGATAAAAGCAGCAGGATTACAATAAAAAAAGAATTTTGTACAATACACCGGTGTCTAAACAGCTAGAATGAGGTTCATAATCTAGTCATGCAAATCGAGTCGGCTAATGTTTCGATGAATCCCATACGCCTGCGCATTGTAGAATTTTCGTACAATAAGACATGAATATGGAAGAGATTTTTTAAGACAGCACAATGGTTTTTGCACCCATTTTAACCTTGGCTGATGCGGAGTCGCAAGTTCTGCTCGAATACCATCCTGCTGTTTAATCATCATCTTACGCTGAACTTGGAGGGCTAGGATTTGAGAAAGTGGAAAAGGAACGAAGATGTAGGAGAAGAGTACAGAAGAGAGGGAGGAGGTCCAGATTAACCTGAAATAGTAGTGTAAACTGTTTTTGGGTACAGAAGAGTACAGAAGAGAGGCTAGGATTTAATCATCATTCTATTAACTGTCTCTGTGAAATGAAGCAGGTCAGTCGATTCGTCGATAGAATTCGTATGTTCATCTATTCATGAGTCGTTTGTGATGTCTGCGACATGAAAAGAAGCAAAAATATAAAACTTTGGCTAGATTTGGAGTTTTTCTGGTTAAGCATAGAAGCAGATACGAAAGGTTGACAAGAAAATGAGTAGTATGTACGTTTCACTGGTCGAGGGATCTGTCTACCATGTTTATGCAGAATCAACCTGCTAGAAGGTTAACAATTTCTTCTACTTGCACATGATCATGGCTGAAAAAGCATACATATATGCCAACTATATATCAAGCTTTTGAGCGTTGAATTGAACTGACAGGATTAGCAAGCAAGGGCAGTTTATATGCCTAGATATCGAAAAAAGGAAAGTACAAGGCATGCAGGTTTTCCACAGAATCAAAGGATTAATAGAAGCGAGTTTAAATATTATAGAGAATTATGCCAAATGAACGCTAGCGTAAGAAGTTCATGAGTCTATTTACAATGGAACTACGAAACTGGCCTACTAGTAGTACTAGTGTACAATGATTTGCCATGCAAATTGAAAGCCTAAGATCCTTCGGTTAAGGGAGGATCATTATATGAAAATCTAAAACAAATAAATCAAGCAGATAGCTGCGGAAGTTCCATAATCACACTTCATCAAAGTCAAAGGACAAAGGTTACGGCAAAGGTGAATACTTCCTAGAGTCTGAACTGGGAAAGGCATTTAAGAGGAGGAAAGGGTAATAAAATAAAAGTCAAAGAGCACATACAGGATAACGTTTGGTGAACTGAAGAAGATGCTGCAGTTCAGTCTTCTTCTGGCGGCACAAGAATCTCCACTGTCCATGTCCGAAACCCTTGACGAATCACTTCTTCCTCTGGAAGATGAAGTTGAAAGGGAAACCATGAAATCGATTTCCACAGCAGTGTCCAGTTGGCTTTCTGAATTTATAACAGCAGTAATACTTGAGAAAGAATCTCTATCAGCAACTGGTGCAGGCTACTGTGGGCTGAAGAAGATGCTTTCAGTTAAGTCTTCTTCTTCTGTGGGCACGAGAATCTCCACTGTCCATGTCCGAAACTCTTGACGAATCATTTCTTCTTCTGGAAGATGAAGTTGAAAGGGAAACCATGGAATCAATTTCCACAGCTGTGTCCAGTTGGCTCTCTGAATTTATAACAGCTGCAATACTTGAGAAAGAATCTCTATCATCAACTGGTGCAGGCTGCTGTTGTTCTTGATTTCTATTACGGTTACGATAATATGCCTCAACTAACCTTTCAGCAGAACTCAATGCAGACGAGAGAGAAGATAGTGTTGCTCTGTGCGATTGTGTCCTTCTAAGTAGTAAGGACTGAAGTTGGCGGTTTTCCCTTGTTTCAACAGCGGTCACGTTGCTTTGCGTTAAATCCACAACATCATCTGCAAGTACCACTGGATTTTGCTCTCTGCGCAGTCCTCGAGATGTCAGAATCCTATTTAACAAATTAGTTCTTTCTGCTGCTTCCCGGGTATTCTCAGGCTCTGATGGATGAATAACATCCCGAGTCAAATCAAATCTATTACCAAGACGGCGAATCATCTCCTCTACCGGAAAACTCAATGCACTCCTCTGAATGGTTTGTCTAAAACTTTCAACCCGACGTGCATGAGGCCTAAGAGGGATCTTAAGATTTGAGTCGTCATCTTGCTCACGCACGTTGTTTCCACGACCATAGATTGGGGTGACATTCTTCATTGTTACCTCTCCCTTACAAACAGGGCATTCCTTTGCATCTTGCACATGCAACCAACGGTAAATGCATGGCCAACAAAACAAATGACCACAACAAGTCACAACAGGGTCCCTAGCCAAGTCCAAACAAATATTACAATCGAAAAAGCTCCCATCACTGCCACCGCCCTTTTCAACATCATCCTTATTCTCAGAATTCTCATTTTCCAAAATCCCATTGTTATTATCACATGTCTTGGGTGCGTCACTTGTTCTTTCTTCTGCTGTAAGGCTACCCTCACCGGGTTGTAATGTACTTGAGTTACCAGAGTTGACCATCAATTCATTCAACTCCATGGAAATATTCCGCCTTTCAGGTAGCATGGAAATATTCCGCCTTTCAGGTAGCGTGGAAATATTCCGCCTTTCAGGTAGCGGCCATCTCCTCTGCCTGGCCCTCCTCATAGCTTCCGCAATTCTGCGGATAGGCGCTTCAGTCCAAGCATCCAAATTTACAGGTTCATTTGACATTGAGCCAGCATCGGGACCAGGACCCAGATTCAGGTCAAGGTTCATTGCATCAGACGTCTCCTCACCCATCACAACCAAAAGGCTTATTATATCACAAATTTAACAAACCCAGATCAGAAACCCTAGCTTCACCACAAAACTGATGAAACCCAAATCACAGAACCACAAAAATCATCCAAATTGAACAACATTTGGCGCACAGTTCAAAAAACCCTAATCGTAATAAAAAATCACGAACAAATCCGTATGAAAACCCACAAAATTGAAGAAACCGAGATGGGAAAGAACCCTAATTGGAGCAAACCCAAATCGGAAACTTCATCCACAACACAAAAATCAGCAAGTCAAGCTAAAATTAGGCCATCAAGTTGGCGACTTGGAGACATTTTTCCATGGTATAAGTTTCTAGATGGAAATCCAGGGTTTCAAAAGCCGAGAAAACAAAAAACTAAAGAAAATTAAACACCTGGGTCATGGTGAAACGGTGTCGTTGATGATCAGCTAGAGCTGGAGTGAGCTCGAGAGCGAGTTGGAGACCGCCTGAGCTGAGTCTGACCCGAGTCGACTGGTCATGAAGGGCCCTCTTTCTCTAATCAGCGATCTAGTCCACAGAGAAGGATTAGATGGATGAGTACGGGCAATGAATTTAGGACGGGGCACTGGGGCAGGAGAGAGAGAGAGAGAGAGAGAGAGGGAGAGAGAGAGAGAGAGAGAGAGAGGAGAGACAATCCTTTGCGTTGGCGTTGCGTTTACAAGTGAAGGCTCTGTTTGGGAGGTGATGATTGTGATGAACGGCTGTGATGGAATTTGTGGACCAGCTTGTACTGCAAATCAAGTGGCTCAAATTGAGTTTCCACTAGGCTATGGTTTGGGTACTTGCAGAAGTAGAAAGTGACTTCCAAATGGAACTTTTATGTTGTTTCAACTGGTTTTGGAACAACTTAACATGTACTGGATTATGTGTTTGGACTGAAATCAAGCAATGGGCCTGCGTAAGGCCCAAAACACTAGATTCTGGACTAAAGGCTTAATGGGTATTTATTTTTCTTCCAAATAAACTATGCTTAGCCCAATTTTTAAAGGCACTTTATGACGTGGCATTGTGGTCGACAAAAAACCCCTTTCACACAAAAGGAAAGATGTTCAACCATTATTACAGAAGAAAAAGTACTTTTCAGTGGCAGGTTGTAGTTCTGAGAGGATAAAAGCTCGAGTTACCAAGTGGAAACTCATCCTATGACAGCAATCACATCAGCAACTTGGATCAGGGGAATGAACTAAGGGGGAAAGGCTTACTCCATAAGTAAGAGGATGTTCTATAAAGGCATCATTAATGAAGAAGAAAAAGACACTCAACTCAACATACAAAAATACTTCAAGGCTCTGCAAGCCTAGTTTTACAAATTCCTTTTGTATTTTAAGCATCCATTTCCCTTTATATCTCTCCTACATTACTTGCAAGGGAGGAGCCAATTTTTTATTTTTCGCTAGCTGACATAAAACCATATGTTTATTTTTTTCAATATAAAATTATATAGTAATCAATATAAAAGAACAACAATAGAATATAAACAAATCTTGAAATCATAAACCTAACCGACAACTTCAAGGACCATATAAATAATTAAAGGAAAACTAATAAAAATGGCTGGAAAACTTTGAGTTTTAATCAAAAGGACAAAAATGTGTTGTCAGTGAATACAAGGAGTGACTTTTTAGAGTAAAAATGTAATTTTTGTTAAAAGTGAACAGTACCGGGAGTGTTTCATTAAAACTTCCAATAATTAATCTACTTAATAAATGAATAAGTAAATAAAGTGATTAAGAACGGACCAAAGGTTACATTCATTGGAAAATCACAACGAAAAGTAGAATTGTGGAAATAGGGATTTAATTGTGAACTAAACGAAAATTCTTTTTCTTTTCTTGAGTAAGAAGTACAAAGGCTAAATCGGATAGGGTAAATGGTCTTTTTCTTTAGCATAAAAAGTATTATGTACTACCTATCCTCTACTAAATATACATGAAATAATAACCTATATTGGAATTGAGTGGCCTATATAGGCTACATGCACTAATATAATGTGAAATCCCGTTCCTGGATTTCACTGTTATAATATACGTATTTGTATTATTGAGATTTTATATTATTTTTCGAGAATTTATATTAATTTATTTGAATTTAGATTTCAATTAAACTAGTTACAAAGAGTGAAGTTTGGAAAATTATTATTTACTCGTTGACCTTTTGAGGTCACAAGTAACGTTTTCGAATATATCTCGAAACCATGAACGCATAGGCGTAAGCTGTTTGCGAGTCTGGATTATTACGGTATAGTTACGGACGTTTGAAATCGTTTTACTAAACTATAGGTTATAAATTAATTAAAACTCCCATCATGTGAGAATGGTAACCAATCAAAGTTAAGGACTAATTAGATTAGCTGTTGATGGACCATTCAGAAAAAAAGAAAAAAGAAAAAAGGAAGGGACCAATTAGAAAGGAGGTATGAAACTTCATCTACTCTTCATAATCTTCAAGTTGGTATGCTTTGTTTGTGCTTTCATATTCATTCTAGGGTTGGGTGTTTAGAACCCTAGAAATCCGGTTTTCTCCGGTGAATTTGGACGGTTTCCGGTTAGAATTTATCGTCGGTCTAGTTGTGAAAAGTGTTTCTCTTGTTGAGCTTTAGCTACCAGGTAAATTTGAACTCATTTAGTTAATGTTGAAAATTTGGGGTTTCTAAACCCTCCACCTTGGCTACCACCACGTGTGGCAGTGCGTGGGACCGTCCACGAGTATTGTCTAAGTACCAAATACTTTCTAGTGACCCTGTGAACCTATGTCTAGCTCAGTTTCTTGAAATTCAATTGTTTGGTGTGGTGATCAAATTGGACTGCCACTTGTTTGTGTGATTGACGACAATCCAACCGTTGGATCATAATGAAATTTTAGTATGCTATTCTAGAAGCATAATGTGGACTTTGGGAAATTATGGATCAGAAATCCGATGTGTGGATCTTCAGGATCGAATTACGTAGAGTTGTGGACCCTATTGTTAACCGAGAGTTGACTTGTGGTCAACATGTCTCGAAACATTATAAATAATAAAATTAGTATTACGGGACTAACTGAAGTCTAGTGGGCCTATATTGGTTAGATAGTGACTTGAATATATGAGATATGATTATTATCTTAATTTCTTATATTGGTATCATTTGTGAATATGAATTGGTCTTATAAATATGATTTCTATTGAAATGTGATTTTTATATATTTAGCCATAGACCTATGCTTATTAAGTATGATTTGGCTTGTGTACTGATGATGTTTGTGATATATATGTGTTTAATTATCTTTTTAATAATGTGAATGATAATTATGATGAATGTTATGACAATTATGAGATCTAATTATTGTTTGATAATTATTTGGATATGATTGCCAACTGAATACCTATTTGAACTTGGCATTACTACCTAGCATGTGATAGGGATGAAAGTCAGGAGATGAGTTAGCACTTTAGATTTTTTTAGTAGAAATAGTAATTAGGGGAATTCCTTGTGCTGTGCTCTATATGACTAGATGCTGGTTGATATGTGGAATCGATAGCGTGTATACGTATAATTGGTTATAATGTGTAATGATGAGACCGCACCATGTAGTAGTGGTACATGGATGGTCCTGCTTGGTATATATGCGATGGGTGACCATATGTATGCTTGGAGTGATCATGCTTGGTATATCCGCGATGGGTGATCATTACCTAGAGCTATATGATACAGTCCTACTTGGTATATCCGTGATGGGGGACTGTTAGGGGTGATCATGCTTGATATATCCACGATGGGGAACCATACGTATGCTAGGAGTGATCATGCTTGGTATATCCGTGATGGGTGATCACTACCTAAAGCTAGGATGTGGTCCTACTTGGTATATCCGCGATGGGGGACAATATGTATTCAGGGTGATCATGCTTGGTATATCCACGATGGGTGATCACTGTCTACACGATGAGATTATGCATATGGTTCTGCTTGGTATATTCGCGATGGGGGACGATACGCATTCTAGAGGTGATGATGATTAGTTGTACTTGGTACATTTGATAGGCGATCATATTTAGTTCGGTTCCGTTTAGTGGTCCGGAACCCGAGGTTGTTGGATTTCGTAGAGTGGTTTGAAATCCCATTATTTGGAGAAGTAGGCTTGACCTAACTGTGTCACTCTAGCCTTAGTTATATATATATTTGTGTCAATGGTTTCGAGAATCTTGTGAATTAAGTTAGAAAAGATGTTGGACCTCTGGGTGACTCATTCGAGATTTTCTACGATTCGATTATGATTTCATAAGGTATGAATTTAGAAGATATGGGAATGATTGTTATTACTTTGATCAAATTAATTAATTAATGTGGCTAGAGAATGGTTTTGTGTTTCGTCAGTTCTTGAATATGATGTATGTTGTGAATTGTGATATCATGATGAGACATAATGATTTATATGTTGGATGGAAAAGAAATCATGATTTCATGAGGGTTTGTTATGTAGCCTGAGCCCAGAAATTTCATGCTATCAGGTTATATTAAATGATTGAGGAACGTTATGTTTTTCTGCTTGAACTCAATGGGATACATGTCTGATTTTGTGAATGGTGAACTACGAATGGCTTGATCCCTATTGAGGGTACGTAGGCAATCTAAGGAAGAGGTTAGATGCAGCCATAAAGTATACGAAAAAAATTGCTATGCAAATTTGAGGCATGAGTTGAGCTTGGTACATATCCCAGAGACGGCGTATGTTAGATATACGGGTTTTTGATGGCATCACATGTCGGTCCTGGACGTAGGTAGGGATTAGGGCGTGACATATAAACTATTAAAGCATGAGTTTAAAAAGGATAGTGCTATTCACACACCCTTATTACTTTTTTGTCATTGATCTTCATCAATTTATTCAATCTGAAGACCGAAAACTGAGCAGGATGTGTGAGAAATAAAAATGGATGTATGTATAGCACTACACTTACAAAAAACCTCCTTGGGCTACAACCCACCTTAGCCTTGTGGGTGGCTTTGCTTGTGATTACTTGTAGTATTGATTCCTTGTATTGAAATCTCTTTTACAAACACTTTTGTATTTGCTAGCACTTACCCTATTAGTGGACAACTTTGCCCAACTGTGGCTAAAACTTGCCCGAATAGGCTAAAAATGTGGCTAAAACTTGCCCTATTAGTTGTTAATTTTCAATTTGTTATCTTTTTATGCAATTTACTATGTTTTTCTTATTAATGTTCAACAAATCTTTACAACTTCTTACATTCAGCCCTTTACTTATATTTTGTTTTGTTTTACTTACCATTTCTACATTCATAATGAATATTGCAAATTGACTTAGATCACTTTTGATTAGTTTGTGGTCTTCTCTTGGCATTAATATATGACACGCCCCGATCCCGATGTCTGAATGACAACAGGATGATCACGTGCTGGCCAACACTCGAGGGTGATGCAAGCCATTTTATGAATGCATATGCCGAAAACATGTGAAACATGCATATAATTTTCGCACGTAACAATGCAATATAGTAATCAAGTACAAACCTCAATTAAATATAATAATCAATTGCCAACAATGTAAAAGTGATAATGCATGACATGTTTAGAGCATACTACTAATTCAAAATACAAGCGGAAGGAATATTAGAAAGTGCTATTACAAG